AGAAGCGATCAGGGTGGGTTCTCAGGCCAGACACGCAGTGGCCACCCGCTCAGTTCCCCCAGCTGACAGCTATATGCTGCTCCAGGTGGCCTGCCCGCGCATGGGGGGCTGCTAAGGACGGTTATGAAGCTTGTGTCAGGAGACACCACCAGACGCTGCAGCGCCGCCTCCCTCTGCAGCAGCGGGTCAGGGGGCCGTGTCCCCTCCCCGGGCAGCCGGCACCAGCGCCCAGCATGCAGTTTCCCTTGGAGAGGGGCCATCTGCACCCTGCCCTGGCCACCCGGACGTCCTGTCCCACTCCCCACCCGCCGCCAGCCTAGGGCGCCTTGGGAGGCTCTCTCGCCATTTCCTGCGTTCTGCAGGAGCACTAATTGAAAATTTGGGTGGCCTTGCTTATTTATTTTCCTGGAATGCAGTGGGTTATATTTTCATGGCATTTTCTCAGCGGTGCGGCGTTTCAATTTCAGACTACAACAATGAGAAGAAAAGCCCGTCGCTGAGCCGGCAGACGCACAGATCTGGCCGCCTTGGCTTTGCAGTCCTGCTGCTGTACTGGTAACTAAATCTAAGCCTCACACGCCGCTCCTTTCATGAGCCTAGAAAGGCAAGTTTACTTCCTGTGGAGAGGAGAGAAAACACAGGGATGTGCGCTGTTGCTATGATAGGGGAGACAGGAATAGGAGGTGGCTTGGAAACTCGTCGGAAGATCGTGGTAGCTGCGCGCCTAAATCCTCCTAAAGGGGCTGGCTCGGGCTCCCTGCCAATTTAATATAAGAAAACAACAACAACAAACACACTCCTGTCACCGTATTGTCGCACGGGGGTCCCACAGGAATGACAGAATTCACATATGTCATACAAGCATTTTTCTTCAATAATATGAAGTTCACGGTGAATTTTTTTTTATTTTCTTGAGAGGCCAAGCCATGCTGTTCTAATAATCTACCACTGCTGTAAATTTTGTATGGCCGAACATTCCAAGAGGACTCTTGTTTCAATGGATTTGTATAAAAACACAATTTTGGCAAAACTTAAATTTACACACATGGCTTAATTTACACTTTAAGTGTGCACTTTACAACTGACTTTGGATTTCATCTTGGGTGTGTGCTTCTTTGATTTCCAAACTAAAAGAACAGAGAGAGAGAGAGAGAGAGAGAGTGTGAATTTTTAATATCTAATACATTCTGTGTGAAATACATTGAAAGAAAAATTTAGTGGTTGAAAATGTGAATGCATGTTTAATATGTTTGGTTACCAAAGATGACTGCATTAATTCAGCTCCCAATTGAGGAGCAAGTACATTTCTGTCTTTCTGTGCTTCCAGTGGTATGGGGCCGGGGGTCATTTCCTCCAGCATGGGGGCTTCTGTCCCTTCTGCCCTCAGCACGACTGGAGGATGTGCTGGTGAGGACCCTGTATACCTTGAAATGGAAAATATGACCTGTCTGGGGGCAGAGGATGCCATGTCTGTGCATTGTCCTGTGTTATGTGGGGCAGCTGATTTTGAGAAAGTAAAACAAAACTTCATCTGTGTAATGTGACCCCCAAAGCAATGCTGTTAAATGAGTCACTTTTTATAAACTGGGGATTGTACTAAACTATCAAAAATCAAGTCACATATTTATATATAAATTAGTAAGCTTACAGAGGTATCTGACTTCTTTGGTGAAAAAATTGATCAGTGCCTTGCTATAATTTATAAATAGGATTTCTTTTCTATGTATACTTAGTCCTTTTTCTTATCCTAGGACTTGAGGACCTTGCACATGCTAAACTACATATTAAGCATTAAAGGTGCTCTGCCACATAGTCAGCTCACCTTCAGGCCCTTATATCTTAAAACTAAGGGGTTAATGAAAAACATTAGCTATGTTATACAAAAATCACCTCATTCAAGTATGTAATTTGAGTATACACATGAGCTGGAAAATACTTACAGTTTTCACATGATATTGATATTTGAAACTCATTAAGATATGCTACGCAGACTGTGCTAATGCTCTATGGCGCTCTTCATAGTTTACAAAAACATTTTTCAACGCATAATTTAGATTCATAGTTCTCTAAGGCTAACTTGTGTAAAACATTAAAAATTCAGAAAGAAAAAAGTCTATGTTTTTGAAAGTATACACGTAGTGATCGAATCAAGTATAAACAGGGAATATATTGCAGTTTATATAAAGAATATGTTTCGGCTCGGGTGGCTATCCTGAGTACAGAATAAAATTATCAAAGTTCTCCCACCCTCAGAAAACACTCATTCATTGATTTGGTAAATTCAAATATATTTTATTTAATAGTTTTTCTTTACACATGTAATTTCAAAAATAAAATTAAAAGCAAATCACACCATTCACATCCATACCATTGTTCCTAGTACAGGGCTCACCTTTCCCTGTGTCTGTCTCCTTAGAGTAGATCATATCTTAAGAAAATGATCAGAGTCCATGTGAACACCTGAGTTTTTGTAGGCAAATCTGAACATATAGAAAAAGCAAGTTTTATCATTTTTACTGTCTAAAAAATCATACAGTTAAAATATTTTCCACTGCCATTTCCACTTTCCTAGCACTAACGATACATCTTAGCGTGGTTGACTCCCCACCATGCAGGCAGGCAGACCTAGAGTGTTCTTCAGGGAGATGCATTTCCGAGGAGGAGGAAGAGCGAAACTGAGTCTCCCGACCTACCCTCTCCTGATTAGCCGAGAGCTGCCATCACACGTCCGCACAGATGGAGCGCCTCAGAGCAGAGTTTACACTCTGGACGCAGACAAAATTCGCAGCTCAATTTAGGGACTGCCCCAAAGAAATTAATGACCAAAATTTCAAAATTATGCCTAATAGAAATGCAAACCATGGGCTGAAGGATTTAGACCACAGAGAATAGGCCCTCATCTCCAGAGCTCCCTGAGGAGGGACGAGGTTGCTGAATGGTTTGTACAAAACAATACACAAAATCCTAAGTATGAGCCATCTTTCCATCTTTGCTTTCTCTTGAAACTTAACCGCTTAGACAGAAACCCGGGTATATGTCCAGTGTCAGATAATAGCATTATTGGATCTATGTATCGGCTTTCTACATCTGACATTCCATTCTAAACAACTGACGACTCACCTGATTTGGATTAGTTTACCCAAAGCATAAGGCAAATAAACCAGGTTCCTGGTCTCTTTTCCTTGAACAAGGGAGTTGGCTCTCCTGAGCACTTCTTGTGCTAGAGGCAGGCAGAGGTGCTATAGCTAAGTAGTGAGGAGTCCACCAGCCTCGGAGCCCAGGTCGCAGCGCAGACGTCAGCCAGCCAGCGCTGGAGAGAAGACGGTGGCCTGGCAGCCGAAGCCTGCCCAGACACAACTCTCCAATTACAGGCACAGCGTGCGCGAGCTGCAGAGCCGCTGAAAGTGAAACACCAGCAAACAGTCTTCCCTGATGAGCGGTTCAGCCACAGAAGAAAAGTGTGCTAATCAGAGAAGTTTTAAAAATGAAAATGCCGCTGTCGGCCTTCTTTTCTCATGGAATTTTGCTGAAGGTTTCAATTTTCAGAGAAGATCAAAGAGATATGGGGAAATAAATATTTCAGTGATGACTGATGAGGCAGGAGGATGATGCAAAGAGGGGTGAAATGGGGCTAAGACAAAACAAACCCACATGCGGGGCCGGGAGCCCCCACGGCCCAACACCCAGCCCGACGGTGGAGCTGCACCATCAGCCCTGGGCCCACTCTCCGCAGAAGCTTCCCCCCTAGATTTAACTTCAGACTTTCCTTTATAGTGTGCATGGGTGTGTGTTGTGTGTGTGTGTGGGGTCTGATGTAAGTGGATGTGTGCGTAAGTGAATACGCATGGGTATACATATGTACATATATGTGGCCAAGTGTACATGGGAGGGTATTGTGTGCTTGAGTGGGGTGTGCACGCATGCATATGTGCATATGTGTGTAGTGGGGTATGCATTTGCAGTGTGCATTGATGAGCAGGTACATGTGCATGGTGTGTATGTGTAGTGAGCAGTGGTAGGGACTTGCTTCTGGTTAAGAAGAAAGAACTGATTTCCTCTGGACAATGTGCCTTGTTCAAAAAAGATGTAAGGAGGGAGGGACAGAAATAGGGAAGGAAGAAAGAGGATGAGGGAGGAGACCCGAGGAACATGCAGTCTATACACTGGCCTCACTGTCTTTCCTTTGTTGAGCTGCATTTTCTTCCTTTCCTTCTGCTTGAAATGCACCTGTTGTCTGCCTGTGCCAGCCACTGCCCACCTTGGAACTGACCTGGGGCCATCGCAAACAAAGCCAACGGAGGCTCTGACACCATGGTCTCCATGGATTGTGCATGCTAAGGAAGGATTTTACTTGAGTGTTTCTCACAAATTGAAGACTAATATTCATAATAAATATTAATAGCAATATTATTAGTAGCGTTACAGATATGCTGAGAAAAAAATCAATTTTTCCATTGATCAGCATTCACTCATAAGAATCACTAAATTATTAAAAATTACCTCATTTTTAAGTGAGCTGATTGCTAAGAATGTGGAAGAGTAGTTCATTAAATGCTGTTTTACTTCAAATAATGCTTCCACAATGATAAATATTTTAATTTACACTAAAAATATAGAAGGTCTTAGGTCTATAAAAGTTAATTTGGTGTTTCCATTTGTTTATATGCTAAGAAAATATGAAATATTTTTGGATGTAATAATTTCAATTTTGTGACAGAACTGCATTCTATAATTATATTTATAAGAAAAGCCTATATCCTAACTTATTTACATTCAATAAATGTCCCAAATTATGTAATATTTCTGATAACTTAGAACTGTTTAGTATGTAACTATTAGATTCCTAATCAGGGGCACATAATTTCAAAAGACATTTGAATAATTTGTCATTGTCATTTTTCAAAAATATTTATCATTATGTGTAGACTTATCCTCATGTAAAGTTACAAGTGCCCAGCTTTTGTATTTTAATAGATATATCAATAGTGCAAATGAAAATGTACACAGACATGTAATTTTAATATATTTTCAATATGTGTAAGTTCACATTGAAAACTTGGACGGTAGCAAGCACATGGGGCAGTGATCAGGTTAAAGTGGTGAGTTTATATTTGTTTCTATTGTAAGAACACTTAGCTGGCGGTGGCCTTGCTCTGAGGACAGTTTCAGCCTTAGAGGGCCGCCTAGGCGGGCACACTAGGCATAAACCTGACTGAGACAACTGAACTTTTTTGTTTCCACTCAAAGTTTCCTCATATAAATGTGCTAGAGTGTGCTTTTAAAGCAAAGCAGATTCTTCAGGTTTCGCTGGTTTTGTTCTTTCTTTGCTCAAGATTTCCCTCCAGGAGACTTTCCTCAGTGGCGGCTTCGTGTCAGCCCTCGTGGTGAGCACTGGTGCAACAAGACCTGCGTGCACACAGCCCGCAAACGGCAATGGGGACCAGCGAGGTTTGCATTCATTCTCCTCACCTCCTGCATTCTTCTCCTGGAAAGTTAATAAGGCAGGGATAATAATTAATTATGTCTTTACCTTGATGGCAGACTGGCTTGTTATATAGAAAGAAAAAGATAACACGTGGAAAACGGACAACCTCCTGTGTATAGCAGGCAGCTGCCAGGGCTAAGCCTGCACTGCCACCACATACACTTAGAGCGCTCTGAAGTAGAGCCCAACAGGCTGTGCAGAGAGTGGGCCTTTCTTTCTGAGTACTTCCTCCAGCGGCACTAACTCTAGGACCAGCCAAACACAGATTTCATAGACATCTTTAAAAGAGGGAAAAATATTGTGTTGTCATCAATCAAGAAAGGAAAGCAAAGTGAGAATTCTGTAAATATAGAAGATCAAGTAAATGTTCAAAAGGCTCCCTTCTCTGTTTGATGTGGGAAGTTGCCTTGTCTCATTCTGGAAAAGCGTCCTCAATTCTTTGAGAATTAATTTATATTTTATTTCTCTTAAAGCCTGCCAAAACTCACTTGGAGGGACAAGACACATACAGCAACGCATTCCACTCCCCCTTTCCTCTGGGTAGCATCCTGCTCAATATGATAGAGTTTCTGGCCTCGAACTGTATTTGCTAGAAAGACCGCTGCCAAACTTGGAGTCGGTAGTTACTGGACTATTTATGCAAGGCAAGTGCTGGGAAGGCCGGATAGTGTTTGGTATTTTTTCCTGGATATTAACCAACACTGCCGTGTCACCCTGAACCGAGCCATTTTCCATCAGGCGATGGGGCAGGATAGGCACATCAAAGAGGGCCAGCACTGTAACCCAGGGAAACACAGTCTATAAATCCTAGTTCAAAACTGACTTTCCGAGGGAATGAAACTTGCTTCTCAAATACATGCCTGCAAATAGGAGGCTGCTTAACAGGAATAACAGCCGCATTTAAACAGATCCCAACCTAGAGAGAGGTAGAAATCCATATATAATATATACATATATATTTATATCATCGTTTTAATTGTCCAGCTAGATATTCTGCCTTGGCTCCTAAAAACCTTGCTAGGCATCCTCACACGTATGGAGTCCTTCAAAGCCACTGTTGTAAAGAGTTCGCCCCCATCTTGAAGTCTCTGAGTTATGCCTATGCATACAGTGGGGCTCATAATCTGTGTCAATGGATCAAATATGCATCATGTAACACGCATGTAAAACATGACAGTAATGCAAACTGACACAGACTTTCATATCCAGCATCTGAAAAAATTGGTCAAACTTTAGAGGAATTTATTAAAAAGTAGAAATTCAATAAAAATGCAAAACTAAAATGCAACCTACATACCTGACTTCACAGCTAACCTACAAAGCTTTCTTCATCAGTATCCTAACCAGGCCCAGAAAATCAGTCCTTAGTTCAGTGGGCTGGGAGCTGGGAGGAAGCTGTGCAAGTGGCTCAGAATAGAAGAGTAAAAGGTCATGGAAACAGAACAGGACTGCCAATCGGCTGCAGTCAGAGAGTGCCTCCCAGGCCCATTTCAAAGGGGTCACATATAGGTAACAGATTGACAGAAGGAAGCGTTGGCAGAAAGAAACACTCCCTACACTGAACAGCAGAGCAGCTAGAGTGATCCACTCCCACTGGCACACACAGTAATCTGAAAACACCACTGATCCTGCCCATACTCCACGCAGATGGCCAGATAGTCACCAGGAGAGAGGGCCCTGTGGCTCAGCCGAAATGTGCTGCAGAACAGCTGCCTGCTGGAAAGTGTGCTCACGGCTCGTGGAGGCTGAAAGAACCTCAGAGCTCCCCCTACTCGATCACTGCATTTTAAACTTGAGATAACTGGGGAGCTCTGAAGAGGTGGAACAGCAAGGATTGATATAATGCAGGATCCAGGACAAGGTTTTTGGATGTTCAATGTAATTTTTTTAACCTATACCTAACTCTTAATGTTTCAGAGATTATAAATTTTTTCCTTATATTTTCAACATTTCACAACTAAATACATTTACTGATTTTTTTTTTTTTTTTTTTTTTTTTTTTTTTTTGCCACTAGGGATGAAAAAATAAATTACTACTACTCAAATCTACTGGCTGGATGTCTTTGTTAGAAGAATTAAACAAAGGTTCAGAGTTTTGGTGAAAGTATGGCTTGGAAACTGTCTTTGGCTTTTGCTCTTATAGCTTTGGCTACTATCCCATCCGACCACAGAAAGTATAAAGATGAGGAAGAGATGACTTCCTGCAGGTGCAAGGCAGGACTTGAGCCTTGTCCCTGAGTGGCTGGGACACAATGGAGTGGAGCAGGCCACATCCTGTCCTGCACCCTGGCACCTGTGGTAGCCTTGGGAAGATGCAGTCAACCTCAGGGGCATGTCTGAGTTAGTAATTTAGGACACACTGAAGACAGTATAGAAACCCTCCTTGCAGCGGGAACCAAGGTACTGGCCAAGAATGGGAGATCATGGATAAAACCTGCGTCACAGTAGGGCATTGAAAGATGACTGGGAAGGCAGACTGACCAATGACTTGGGGCAGCAGGAAGCTTCCTAGCAGAGTGGTGCGACTTCAGCCTTGCCCTGCTGACATGGAACTGAGGCGAGAGCTGCTGTTCCCTGTTGGGCCTGGGGCCTGGGCAGCTGAGCTGAGCCACCGTCTTCAGTGACAATCCCACACCTGTGAGGTAAGTTGGGGGCAGGCTGCCATTGTCCACGCCTTCTCCACAACTGCTGAGGCTACAGACAAATGCATATTGACTTTGTGGCCACAGATTCAGGTATAGAGGATCCTCAAGTCCAAAATTCCAAAAGGCAAAACAAATCAAACATCCTGTCCTCTGAAAACAAAACACCTTATGCCTAGCTAGCAATTCAAAGCAAATTAAAATACAGTCTTGTGTTCAGTTAGGAATCCTTCATTTAGAACAAAAAGAAGACTTAATTCCTACTTAAATTAATTCACAGAATTAGGTCATTCCGGCCCACTGCAACACAGGCTGGGGCTGGCAGGGTGGTGCCTAAGCTGAGTCCTCTTCACCGGGTAACGGGGCTCTCCTGTCTCCCTGGCCGTGAGGACTTTCCTCTATCTCTCCTTTTCCTCGGGACCACCTACAGACAGGACCCACTGCCAGAGCGGCCTTGATGTAAACACAGGTGTTAACACATCTGCATCGGTGCAGGGGCGGGCAGCGTGGCCATCTGGTGGGAGCAGTGCTGTGGAAACACCATATCCCTTCTGGAGAGCTGGGTTTATTTACAGTTTTTAAATTAAAATATGCAAATTGCAAGTAAACAGAGAAACCACAGAGCTCCATTCTGCTGTAAAATTAATTGGAGACATTCGTCTATGCTGAGGGCTTTTTATATACAGAGGTCTGAGGCCAAGAAGAAACGCGGATAGTTAAGTCCGCAAAAAGACCTTGGCGGAGCGCGCACACTGGTTCAGAGCTAGGTGAAAACTAAATGAGGCAAGAGGCTTCCTTAAGCAGGCAGGAACATCCAGGAATTGCTAACATAGTTTGTAATTGCTACAACTTTGCGAGATTTCAAATCATCCCTGTAAGGACGGCAAAGCTGGCGGTATATGGCGAACTGTCTCAGGCATCTATGCAAAGTTTGGCTTTATACATGAAATGCTGTTCTACCTTGTGTGCCACTGTCAGGGAGTAGTCAGCGTATGTTGAAATAGACAGGCACAAACAGTCCTGTCCCCCAACCCTGTTGCTGTCCTGATACATACGTGTTTTTAATTTTTCATGGAACATGTACTCACTAAGCATCTAGTCTGTGCATAGGACAGAGTCTTTTCTCTGGGAGGAGTTAAGCAAATAGTAAACAAGGAGATAACACTATTTACAGACTGGTTGTTGCTAAAATGGGGTGGTCACGCTGGTGTATTAAAGAATATAAATCTTGATGGTACCAATGACATGAATGAGACAGCAATCGGTCACCACAAGCATAGAACTTAGGAGCTGACCAACAACCACTGCCAGGCTTTGCTGCAAAGGACCTCTGAGGTACACAGATCCTCACTGTCTTGAGGGTTTACTTGTATGCTAATTCGGTCCATTTCAAACTGAAACATGGAATACCAAATGGAAAATACATGCAAAATACATAAAGAAAGAAGCTAAGGCACAGATAATTGTGTCTCTCATAGTTTCCTAAGACTGTTTCCAAAGGAATCTCAAGCTTCAGAGTTACTCTTCTTCTCCAGGTTCAGTGAGATCTGACCCAGAATTGAAAACACAGAGTCTCATAACCATTTTTATTACCTTGATGGCTACTATTACAATTTTAGGTTTAATGATTTTTATTTCCTGCCAACTTCTACATATAGTGCACTAAGGTGTGCTGACTACCTTCAGAATTAGGAGGGCCACAAATTAAGGGAAAAGAGGGAAAATGGCACCAGTATTCAGTATTCCTCACATTAACAAAAGTCTCTCTTTGGAGTATTTTTGCTTCAGGATTGTTATTATTATTCTTTTTCTTAAATTCAGGAAGAACCTGTGAGTTCTCAAGAGTCACATGCCCTTGCTTAATGGCAGGACTGCCCAACCTGAGAAATGGCCGTCCCCGAAACCTGGGGTTTGGTTTCACAGGAACAGGGTGCTCCTGAGAGCGACGTCGTGCTTATTTCCTCTGGACCTCTGCAGCCAAGACACTGATTTGCATTTGCAGGGCTTTCCTGCTTTTTAAAATGGATGCTCTGGGGAACAGTGGAGTTACTGCACACTAGAGCAACGCTTGGACGCAATCTCTGGCAAAAGGAGAAAATATGAGGTCATACTAAGTCCCATGATTAACAGCATCTGCACAAGACATCATCTCTTTTTTTGTCCCCAGATGTATTTCCCGAATGTGTGAGCGATTCGGCACATACCGATATCTGACTAGTAACAAGCATAGGTTGTTTTTGGTTATGATAAAAGACATTTCGGATGGTTCCCTCAGAGCCAGCCCTGCGAGACAGTTTCCAGGGTTAATGCTTGCCCGGGGTGAGGAAGGCTGCCAGAGCGTAGCGGGCAGCGGAAGCCCCGCAGGACTGCGAGGGGCCAGCGGCCAGCGCCGCAGCACAGCGGGCCGCGTCCCAGCACCCCTCGTGCAGCGAATTCTGCGTGAACCCGCGCCGCAGGGCTTCCGGTCTGCTCCGCCCCTCTTGCACAGAAAACCCTCAGGAAGAACGAAAGGCCCGGGGCCTCCCAGGGAGCACCCCTGAGTTGAGGGCCTACGGCAAGGGGCTGACACCCCCGCTGCGAGGCTGCTGTCGCAGCTTGCGGCGCCCAGTTACACTTTCCCGGGCCCCCCTCGGGGTAGTCAGTTTCCAGCAGGGATGGCAGGGAGCCTCGGTCTCCCCCTGTGATTGCTGCCTGCCTTCTCACGTGGCACTGGCGGGTCCACACCGGGGATCCTGACCCTTGTCCCTGAGGCCTGAGCCCTGCAGGCGAGGGTGCCTCTTTTCTCCTGGGGGTCTGTCCCGCATCAGCCACCACCTTACTGTCTAGAAGGACAGTCTAGAAGGCTTCTATTGCGGCTACGCGGCCGGCCCGACCACCGTCCCCGCGCGTCCCGGTCCCCGTGTAGGCCGCCTCCGCCCGGATCCAGGGCAGGGCGCCGTCGCGAACCCCGCCCCCCATGGTTCCTCGCGAGCACCCCAGAGCGGGGACCTAAGGCCGTGCACTGCACACCCTAGATGTGGAGCGCCCCCACACCTCCTCTGAGCCAGCCCAGGAAAAACGCCAGCTTCCGCCCGCGCGGAAGACGCGGAAGAATCGGAGGACTCGGGAGCTCGGAATGCAGGTCTAGACTGAGCCCGAGCGCCCGCCCTTGGCCCCGCCCCTCTCCCCGCCCTTGGCCCCGCCCCTCCGCCGGACTCCCCTTAGTGAGTCATCCAGCGTTCGGTGCTCTGCTGCGCGGCGGATCGACGCGCTCGGCGCTCGCGGCAGGCGGAAGTACGGTGCTGTGGTGCGGCGGCCGCGGCTCCTGGTTGTGGCGACGTCGGCCAGCATCCGGGAGCCCCTGCCGTGGGCAGCGGCCTGGGGCTGGAGGTACGTGGGCGCCGGGCCTGGCCGAGGGCGGGCGGGACGGCCCCGGTGGGCACCTGCCGGGCTCGGCT